ATGGGAGTTCTATAGAACTTATCCATGTTGGGTTTTATAGTTTAAGTTGATGAGGACAACTGACCGGGTCTATTCCTCAAGAGGGCACCCGATCTCATTAAAGATGGTTGTGAGCCACCATGCATTACCTTTGGAAGAGCAGGCAGTGCTCTTAACTGCTGAACCATCTCAGTGTCCAATATCAGACTTTTAATATTTGTATACCGTTATGCCCAGATCCACAAAGTCCCCCAGAAACCAACAAGACCGAGTCCCATATGTAAATGCAAAGAACCTTTATTTTATACAAGTTTGCAAACTCGGTCTCTCGGTGTATCCAACATATTGGAACAATCAGAGAGCTCAGTTAGAGTTGGGGTTTTATAGCAGCAAAAGTGGGGGTGAGTGATTTCTAAGGTTCAGGACCCCTGATTGGCTGACATTTGTCTAGGGTGTCCTGGTGAATGTTTGCTTGTTTAATTTAAGTGCTGTAGCTACGAATATTACCTTATTTGTGTCTATTTTCCTTTACTGTTCCATATATAACTTCATTTAACTATTGATACAAAGTTAGGTTGACTTCAAGGAATGGGAAGTTTACTTACAATGACTTAAGCATGCAAAGATCATTTTCTCACAAGAATTCACACTCACAAACACACAATGTATTTACCAGTATGTGCAATTTGTTAAAAATCCCTCTGCTCATCTGATGGAAAATTCATTTTAAATCTCTTAAGTCTACCGCCTTTATTAAAACTTTAGAATCTCTACCAGTTTATAGTGAAATAATTTTACTCAGTAACCATTTTCCTCTTTGGCTTGACCTTTCACAGATCTACCGGTGCAATCCTTGGCATTTAGTTTTTAGAGGGTTCTGCTATGAGATATAAGAGCCCAGGAGCAGTTCTCCTTCAGTCAATCTGCCATCTTCCTTGAGATATTGCACATGCCCTTCACATCCACGGCCCTCCCTCTATGATTAGCTTCATCTCTCACCATCTTCTTGACGAAACAAAGCTGCTGGTTATTTACAATCCATTCAGCTTGGAGCGTGGGGTAGGAGAGGCCACATTCACATTTGCCTAATGATCGAAAATATAGTTATGGTTTGTTCCTCCATAGGCCAGGTATGGTACAATACCCCCATTAACATCAGAGGAACAGAAGAGGTCTCTCGAAATATCAATTTTCAGCCTCAAGTGATGTTATTAGTGGTTTCCTCTCTTTGGCAGGGGGTTAATACAGGCTCTGGATGAAAGCATCAAACAGCATAGGAAATGCCCAACTCACTTCCTATGCTAATTTACTATTAACATTTGAAACACTTGTAGAGATGTACTAATCCTATTGTCTGCTTACTGCTGAAACAAAACACAGCATCATTATGCTTAAAATACATTGCTCTCACCATTTAAAAGGAAAATGCTGAGGCTAGGGAGATGGTTCAGTGCTTAGAGATCCCCAGATCCACATAAAGGCCTATATGCTTGGAGACTTTAATTCTAGCAATGACAGACAGATTAGCCATAGCCTTGACCCTTGAGTTTGATTGAGAAGCTGTACTGAAAGGAAGCTAGTTTTGCAGTGCTGTTGATGACTGCTTATTCACAATTGAGAAAGAGACGCATAGAAGACTTCTGTGACAACCACTACTCCCCTATTACAGCCCCCCAAAAGTAACAACCTAGATAGGTAACCATCAAAAGAACTCTTAAATGTAGCTGGACGTTTTTCTGTTCCGATCACCCACTCCCTGCCAAGCAGCTGCTTCCAAATTACCACACAGACATAATATTATTTATAAATGCTCAGATAATAGCTCAGGCTTGTTGACAGAGTTTCTGTCCTGCCTGGTTTCTGCAATCGGTAAGTTCCAAAGAAATTGCAAAGAGGTCTACATTAGTTATAAACTGATCAGCCCATTAGCTCAGGCTACTTATTAACTCTTATAACTTTATTAGCCCATTATTCTAGTATATGTTAGCCACATGGCTTGGTACCTTTTTCAGCGAGGCAGTCACATCTTGCTTCTCATGTGTCTGGGCCAGGACTGTGGAGGAATGAGTTATCCTCTTCCCAGAATTCACCTGTTCTCATTGATCCCCCTCTACTTTCTGTCTGGTTGTCCCGGCTATACTTCCTGCCTTTCTACTGGCCAATCAGCATTTCTTTGAAATATAATCAACAGAATATAGACATTTGTCCCACACCACAGGCTTATTCCTAACTAGCCTTATATTTGAAGTTATCCCATATTGCTTATTTATGTTCTGCCACACAGCGGTACCTTTATTAGCATGGTGTGTTAATCTCCTGTCTCTGGCTGAGGACTTCTAACTTAGCCCTTCTCCTTCCCATCATCTTTAGCTTGGTCACCTCACCTAAATTTCCTGTCTGAATTCTGGCCAATCAGTGTTTTATTAAACCAATTTAGGTGTCAAATCTTTATAGTGTACAAGAGAATTATTCCACAGAACTTAAAAACTGTGAATGCTGAAGTATAGCCATCCAAAATTGATGGCTTCTGGCAGGGGTGCGAGTGGGGATTAAGATTTTAAGGGGCTTGCCATTGGGAATTTGACCATACTCCAATGAGTGTATGGGAAACACAAATTGGACACATGTGTGAGTGTGTCTGTGTGTTTTCTTTGTTTTGGGGGTGTCGGGTGGGGAAAGGAGATCACAAGGATGAGGGGTGCAGACCAGGGGGTACTAGGACATGAGTGTGAAATGGTTCCATTACGTGGAATTCCCAAGTAGTCAATAAAAAGAAAGAAAGAAATTGTGCCTACCATCAATAAGTTGGAAGAACTGTAAAGAGTAATTTCCAACATGAACCTTGGTCCTTCACATGTTCCTATCATGCACATTCTTCCACACATATGTTTGTGCACATAAATACACCCTACATACAAAGGAAAAAAATAAATCATTCTAACTTGTACTTTTGTTTTGTTGTTTAGGCAGGATATTTTATTGCTAATTAATTCTCCCTATATATACTCTTTGGAAGCAAAACATCTAGTCTGAGTTGCTTGTAAATTCTGCATTTTAAATTTTCCATGATTATAGACTGGAGCAATGGCTCAATGGTAAAAAAGACTCTGTTCTTCCAGAGGACCTGAGTTTGATTCCTGTCACCTACACAATGGCTCACAACCATCTGTGCATATCTCTAGTCTCAGGAGAATTGACACTTTATACTGTCTTTTTGGAGGACATGTGATGTGTAGAGGCATACATTCAGTCACAAACCTCATATACATAAAATATAACAATAAGATATAAACAAACACATAAGTAAATAAACCTTGTAAGATGAAATTCTACCTGGCTTTTTATAGCTTTAAATTTGGGAGTTGCAGACTACAAATACTGGGCTTTAGAGGTCCTCGCCTTTTTCTACTGTCCACTTCTCTGTGGAGAGGTATCACTCTCAGCCTGCTATATGCCAGCGATCATTGTCTTTCTTGAGGAAAAAAAACAACTTTCCTTTACAGTTTCACAATTCTTTCTTGAATATTGATCTCAGTGTAGTCAATAGAAATGTCCATTTGCATCCTGTATTGTTAGTGTGTTATTTTAAGTGAATGAGTTCAAAAATTTTCCTGCCTAATGTGTTTCTATCATTTCTATCTATGTGATATGTTTTCTATCTATGTGATAGTGTGTCTATCATTTCTATCTATGTGATATGTTTTCTATCTATGTGATAGTGTTTCTATCATTTCTATCTATGTGATATGTTTTCTATCTATGTGATAGTGTTTCTATCATTTCTGTCTATGTGATATGTTTTCTATCTATGTGATAGTGTTTCTATCATTTCTATCTATGTGATATGTTTTCTATCTATGTGATAGTGTGTCTATCATTTCTATCTATGTGATATGTTTTCTATCTATGTGATAGTGTTTCTCTCATTTCTATCTATGTGATATGTTTTCTATCTATGTGATAGTGTTTCTCTCATTTCTATCTATGTGATATGTTTTCTATCTATGTGATAGTGTTTCTATCATTTCTCTCTATGTGATATGGCTAGCCATAGCCATACGGCCATATTCACTTTGTTATTCCTTCCCCCTCCTTGAAACTCTCCTGTCTTTCAAGTTCATTTTCTACTTCAATAAGTATCAAACTTGAATTTGATATATGATTTTGAGACCTATGCTCATAAAACTTAAGACGTACATTTTCCTGTAGTCAGCCATTAGCTGAACAGACAGACACTAGACAGGTATGTAATTGTTTGGAGGGAGAAAACTATATCTTGTCTGCTATATCTTTTTGATGGTGAGACCCTTGAAATTAGGAATGCATTTTCCTCTTAGATAGAGAAGTGCTAGAGTATAATTCAAAATATAGACTTAAAAGACTGAAGCACTAAAGGATAATACTGGAAAAAATTATGTAGAGTAGTAAATAATTAGCAAAACAAAAACATTATATTCTTACAGTGTTAGACAGCTTTCAATATATGGATTAAATTATTGATAAATGTATTGGATCTTTATAAAGTAGTGTAGCAAGTGAGAAATGGTAAAGAGTATTTCTGGAAGTAGCATTTTCCTGGAATGTTGTTGATAGCTCCATCATGAATATTCATTATTTTTATTATTATTTATCATCAGCTTTATCTTTTACTTTTCCACTCTGAACAACGATAATAGAGGAATCATCTTAAACTCCCTGTTTATAATTTAGAGGGTTTTTTTTTTGTCTTTTCTTTTTTTAAAAAAAAGGTAAGTTTCACCTATTTTGGTTTAGGAATTCACTGAATATCAACTTCATATCTTTAACAGGAAGTTACACAGTCTTGTACAGAAACCATATTGATTCTTATGTTCCAAAAAGTATTTCAGGTTAATTATATTAGGTTTCTAAGTCATTATCTGATATAGGTGAGAGACAGAAGTAAGTATGTGTGTATTATGTATAAACTACACATCTTTTGTTTTTTTAATGATTTTTTCACATTTACTACGTTGTGTCTTTTTCCTTTTTTTCTCCCGAAGAACGACCCACATTTCTCAGGAGGCCAATTAACCAGGTGGTGCTAGAAGAAGAGGCAGTGGAATTCCGTTGTCAGGTCCAGGGAGATCCACAGCCAACTGTGAGGTGGAAGAAGGATGATGCAGATTTGCCAAGGGGAAGGTATGTTTGGATCCCCACCATTCATGGTTCCACCAGGAAAAACCCTTACATCTTGATTAGCTTTCAGACATGTGATTGTTATTTTTGGTGATATTCCTACTGTATGCATATCACACTCTTTTAGACTTACAATGTCACTCATTTAATGGAAATCCACATTCCAGCCTGATCATTCACTCTACCTTTCATGACCAAATACCACATATTCCTGAGGTATTATCTTTCTCAGGGCTATTTGTACCTTTGTTAACGGCTCCCTGACTGTCCCTCATTGTGTGCCCTGTTTCTATGATCTTTAACATGCAATGCCTTCCCCGAATGCCCAGAGTATCTATAACAAAAGGCTGCTGGTACAGCTGGCTTTAGGGACTTATTTAAAACACAGAGCAACAAACTGAGGCTGCTCAAGAAGATGACCTCCCAGGAGGCTGTGCTCAGGGAGTTTCTGGCCCTCAGTTGGAGAAAGGTCCTCCAGTACTTTCATTCTTCGTTTCCCAGTCCCACTGTCTCCACTGCACCATCTCCAAAGCATCCAAAATTGCTTATCATCTTTTAGAAAAATAATTTGATTATATTCTCTCCTTTTTTCTGTCTGTTAAAGACCTTTCCAAGCAGGTGTGGTAGACCAAGTCTTCATCCCAGTGATAGATAGAGACAAAATAAATAAACAAATGAATGCCTTTTTATCTGTTATCAAATAAGCCGGTCTACTTTGCTCTTTCTATAAAGTACTATTTCTTTTTCTGTTTCCCTTGCCTTCCCCTTATTTCTACCTACTGACATCATAGCCGACACACCTATACAATCATTGTCTGCAGAAGATTGCAAAGTCTGTAGCTTTTCAAGGGTTTATCAGGAATTCTAGAGGTACTTGATTTCGTTCAACAGCTTAAAGTTGAACATGCCTTTACAGAAGCTGAATGCTTTTTATATACATTTTCTGCCACTGAAGAAACTCTGCTAAATTTGCACGTTAACATTAACATCTCAATTTTGAACCCTGTAAAGCTATGAAATGTACCTTCCTTCTAAATTCATATCCTCAGCAACACTGGATTTAAATAGACCAGGCATTTAAATAGTATTGAGAGCTTCTTTGCAATCTATAGTTATGCATCTGTTGCAAATCTCAATTTAGTTATTTAACAAACTGGCTAAATAAGCACAAATCAAATAGTTAAATAACACAGGAAGTCAATTCTTTTTTTTGTTACTTTGCTATCAGATATCTGCCTATAAATAAATGTCACTATTTACCAGTCTGGTAACTATTAGGGTCCTCATGCTCCTTCATCAGAAAATCAAGGACAAATTCTAGAGGGCTGGAGAAAGAACTTGCCTTGAAAACACAAGGAAATGACTTCTCATTAGGAATGCAAGAGAAAAGTCTGGGTATGGTAACATATGCTAACTTGTACTCTAGTCATGGATACAGAGATGTGCACACAGATGCAATTCCTGGGCAACCAAAAAGTCTACACTGCAGTGTAAGATTTAAGTCACTGAAATGTCTGCCAAACAAACAAACAAAAGTAAGAAAGAAATTTAGACTAAGTTAGCCAGCACCTAAGAATTATAGCCAAGATTTCCTATGAACCAGACGCCCGACAAACACACTCACATACAAAGGTGGGGTTACATAAATAGATTGCTGCTATCCACAGCAATATGAATAGTAAAAGTAGTCATCCAATTAGAGATCAAACTACAAATATTTTTAAATGCTAACAGAAGTTAAAGAAAATAATATTAGGGCTGGAGAAATGGCTCAGAGGTTAAGAGCACTGACTGCTCTTCCAGAGGTCCTGAGTTCAATTCCAAGCAACCACATGGTAGCTCACAGCCATCTATAATGAGATGTGGTGCCCTCTTCTGGCATGCAAGCATACATGGAAGGAATGTTGTATACATAATAAATAAAAAAATCTTTTTTTTAAAAAAAGGATGATTCATTTTAAATAACTGGCGCTGTAACTGGGTATGGCAGTGCACACCTTGACAGCAGAGGCAAACAGGTCTCTGATTTTGAGGCCAGCCTGGTCTACATAGTGACTCACAGGCACGCCAGAGCTGCATAGAGGGACCTTGTCTCAAAACAAACAAACAAACACAACAACAACAACAACAAAAAAAAAAAAACCCAAATTGTTGAGACTCTAAAAATTCTGTAATTGTTATGTCCAGACCCATGAATTCCCAACAAAACCAACAAGGAGACCAAGTCTCATATGTAAAAGCAAAGAGCCTTTATTTTATGCAAGTTTGCAAACTCGGTCTCTCCACATGTTCAACATATTACGATAAAGAGAGAGCCCCGAGTTCAGTTAGAGTTGTTTTTTTATAGTATTAAGGTGGAGGTGAGGGGTTTCTGATGTTCAAGACCCCTGATGGGATGACATTTGTCTAGGGGTGTCCTGGTGAGTGTGCTGGCAGGTGGTCCTATCTACACCACCTGGAACATTAGGCATTTCCTTTGGATGGTCTGTTCTTGCATGGTGCTGGGCTAATCTCAGTTTGTGGTTGTTCCTGCAACCAGGTATTGCTTCAGGGTAAACTACTGAGACTCAGGCCTCCTTTAAACTTATCAATGTCTGAGTCCTACTCTGGCAGGTGATAATGGTTGGAAACAAAGAACTTCCTTTTTCTGTTTCTACTTAGCTTATCATGGCTGGCTCCTACAGTAATTTTTAAAATTGTCCTTTAATTTAGGGATATTTTGATTTTTTAAAAGTAACAAAATTGATTCAGTGTTGTCTGTACATCTTGAATCTACTTTTTTACATTTTTAACATTTATGAAATATTTTTCATACCTAATGAAAGATGTTGAAATAATTAAATACAGGCTAAACAATTTTTAGATTTGATCCATTTTTATTATTGTATTTTTCTGCTCAAGAGACTAATTGAGGATATGTATTTAATTGAGAATCATAGACTTTGGAGTTTAATTGAATGTTTCCCAATTATCTTTGGTCTTTGACAGGTTCACAGTGCTTTTTAGAATTGCCAGGCTTGTATTCTTGTAGAGAAATACAAGTCGGATATCCCACAGAATATTCAAAGCTGTATTGACATGTCGTTTTTACATGGGTATTGGTATATTGGTAGTATGCTTTTGTTTGTCTGTTTTTCATTTGATTATTTTGTTTGTTTGATTAATGAAGAAGGCCATATCATCTCATTACATTGTATCAGAGGCTCATGAGTTAAGGACACAGACTGTTAGCCCATCCCATAACTTGTTGAGACAGTTTTGACTCACCCTAGACCCCTCTGAGTCTTCCAAGTGCTGGGTGACAGACTACAGCAGACACTATGTCTGCCTTGGTTTTGTTGAATTTTTTTTAAAATTTCATTTTTACTTTGTATGTTAACTTTGTATGTTTTAATTAATTTATATTTTTACTTTCATATATGTGTACTATAATTAAGTAAAATCAAGTTGAGATAAAAAATACATGCTAGAAAGTTCTGAGACTATATTGAATTTTAACATGTCTTTATTTAAATTAAGAAACTAATACATAATTTAAGAATAGTTTTATTATCCCTATTTATTATGTGTTAAGTGATAAATATGACAACTTTAGTGTCTCTGCTATTTTCCAAGTCTTGTAAAAGTCATTTGCTATAAAGTTGAGGTAACTTGTAAAAAATCAAGCAGTACTATATAAACTACATTTTCAAGAGGTACAGTTAAAATTTGAGAAAACTTTTATCGCTCTTTTCAAAATGTTTCCATATTTCTGACCTCTAGTTTCTTGCTCCTGGGACTATACTATTACAGTACTTGTCTGACTAGTTAAATATTTCTAATCCCTCAGAAAAATGAAAGTGTTAGCTTTAAATCATTATGTAAGAGAATCTCAACATGCAAATTGATGAATAATTATCTTATCCTGATGGAAGCCAGGCACCTTTTCTACACTTCTCAGACTCTAATGTTATTTCAAAGAAGCTTATTCAGTCTTGATTTGTGCCTATTAGCATACGTCTTACTTGAACATGAAAGGCAAGGAGACCTCTCTACTTGGGGAAGGATAACAGTAATGATTTTCAGCAAGTTATAGACTAAATCATCAACATTGATTCCATTACATATTTAGGTTTCAGATGAGAGAGATGACCATTGTTCTTTTATATGGAATTGGTGTAGTGGATGACAGCCATTTCACCTGATGTTTAATGAAATCCGAATATAGGCTGTGTCATGGTTGTAGGACAGTTGTGTAGCATGTAATTACTATGTAAGCAATATGTGACTCTTTTTCTTTCGATGCCAAGAAAAGCTTTTTAATTCATGCTTAAATTGATGAAATGCTATAGTAGCTACATGAACCTTCAACACGGAAGAAACTATCTGTGCCAACCTTTCAGTGGGAAAGATGAATTTAGGGAGTGTTTTTTGCTTTAGCTTCATTCATCCTAGTGAGAGTATTTTAAAATTATAACAACATCCATTTATTTTGTTTAGCTTTAGGGTCCAGAGGTTTCTCTATAAATAACTTTAATGATATTAACAATACTTTTTGTGGAATTGAAATATTATTATTATTGTTTTTACAACTAAAATGTCTTATTGACATAGGAAACATGGAAAGTCTAACAACAATCCTATGCCCAAACAGAGAAATAATATTTAATGTGATCATTTCCAGGGAGTCAAACTGAAAAGATATCCTACATTGTGTCTGATTAGCAGAGTGTAGTGATATTTTGGAGAAACATCTAAAGACACTAGATCAGAGCTGAATAACAGGAGGAAAAAATCCCACTCTTTTTGGTAACTATAAAATCATCAGTGTATGTTTTTCAAGAGGGCTCCAACAATGAGTTGAATAAAAACTATACTATAAGGCCAGAAAGATGGCTTGGTGGTTGCTTTTCCGGAGGCCCTCAGTTCAGTCACTCAGCAGACAAGTACAAACACACCTAACTAATTTCTTAGATTTTAAAGACAAGATTTTTGCACATGAATAAAAAGAATGAGGTTGAAAA